GAATGCACCTGTGTCATGCAATGCTGCAAAAGTCAGAAGAGGGCTTTGGATTCCTCTGGAACTGGAGTTAAGAACAGTTCATAGCTGCCATGTGGGTGCTGGGAGTCGAACCCGGGTCTTCTGCAAGAGCAGTCAGTGCTCTTAACCGCTGAGCCATCTCTCCAACCCCCTTTTTTTTTGGTCTTTTTGAGGCAGGGTCTCCCTGTAGTCCCAGCTGGCCTGGAACTCACTATGTAGACCAGGCTGACCTCGAACTCACACAGACCCACCTGCCTCTGCCTCCCAAGTGCTAGGACTAAAGGCGTGTATCCCCACGCCTGGCTTCTTTGCTACTTTCTAATGAAAAAAAATCTAAACTGATCTATTTTACTGGGGTCATCTTTGATGCTGGGATTGAATACATGGTCTTGTACATGTTAAATACTTGCTCTGTCACTGAGTTATACCCCCAGCCTTGGGGACATTTTTGCATCGCATCTTTAGAAATACAAGATTCTTGACGTGTTCCCTTGGACATCCCCATTGGTGGCAATCTTTGCTTTATTATTATCGTGTCTGTGTGTTTATGATGGGCATGCATGCCATGGTCTGTGTGTGGAGGTTAGAGGACACTTTTGTGGTATGAGGGGGTCTTTCCTTCCACCTTTATATAAGTTCTGGGGATAGCTTTGCAAGTGTCTTTTTCTGCTAAGTCATCTTGCTGAGATCTTTGCCTTTTTTTGACTTGATTGTGTGGAAATGGAAGAATTTAGCTTGAGAAAGAAAACCCCGTGGGGATAGGAGAGCTTTATCTAAAGATTTTTGAGAGTAAAAGCAGTCTTCATCAAGTCCATTTACTAATTCCTACCAGATTATCCCAGATCTTAACGTACACAAGTATCACCTCATTTAATACAGAAACTCCACTACCACAGAGAACAGAGTTGGCACAGATAAAGGAAAGCAAACTCTTTTGTTGAGAAGAGCTACTCAATGATCAGAGTAGTTCAGACAAAGATATTCGGACTTGGACACAAACTGGCTGAGCCCAGAACTCAGGGCAGAGAATGGAAGATGATTAAGAACCTATTCAGCTCTAAGATTCAGACTCAAAGCTGGATATGGTGGTTCACACCTGTAATCCTAACATATAGGAGGCTGAGGCAGGAGGATTGTGGCAACTTCGAGGCTGGCTTGGGCTGTGTGTAGTGAGTTCCAGGCAAGCCTAGGCTATAGAGTAAGATCCTGTCTCAAAAAATAAAAGTGAGAGAGATTAGAATTAAATATAGCAAGATGTATTTGATATATTTCAGACCATGGGAAACAGAGAGGATACAGTTTTGTATGTAAAGAAGTTTCCAGGACGGCTGAGGAGATAGCTCCTCAGTAAAGTGCTTGCACAAGGGCCCAAATCCCCAAGACCCATGTGAAAACTGGGCGTGGTGGTGTGCATTTATAATCTCAGCACTGGAGAGTTTGTGTGTGATACTGAGGATTGAATTCAAGACCTGGCACATGAGAGGCAAGGGCTACATCCCAGCTCCAGATTATAAAACTTTTACTTTAGGTAGATCTAGTGCTAGGGCAAGATGTATATTTTTCCCCCTTACATTTAATTTAAAAAAAAATGGTGGGCCAGTGAGATGGCTTAGAGGGTAAAGGTACTTCTCACCAAACCCAATGACCTGATGACCTGAGTTTGATTCCTGGGGCCCACATTGATGGAAGAAGAGAACTGACTCCTTGAAAAGTTGTCCTCTGACTTCCACATGTGTACCATGAGAACAGGGCATGGTAATCTTATCATTTTGGAAGCAAAGGCAGGACCGCTGACATAAGTTCCAAGCCAACCAGGGATATATAGATCCTGTCTAAAAAAAAAAACAAAACAAGCTGGGTGTGGTGGCGCACTCAGGAGGCAGAGGCTGGTGGATCTCTGTGATTTCAAGGCCAGTCTGGTCTACATAGTGAGTTCCAGGACAGCTGGGGCTACAGGGAGATCCTGTCTCAAAAAGACCCCCCCCAAAAAAAAATCAATGGGGAAACTGCTCAGTTGTAGAGTGCTTGCCTAGCATGTGCAAGGCCTTGCTTTAAATCCCCAGCATCATAAAAGTATAGATAAAATAATACAACCCTAAGATAAAGATGATGTCTAATATCTTCCCCTACGTAAATCCATTCTCTTTTTGCTTTTCGTTTTGTTTGAGACACTCTTGTGTTGTAGCCCAGGCTATCCTGGAACTCATTATGTAGACTAGGATGGCTTCAAACTTGTAACAATCCTCCTGCCTTAGCCTCCTGAGTACTAGGATTATAGGACCCACCATGCCTGGCACCTAGTCTCTGTTTTAAAGAAATAAAATGTTATAAAACAGCTCCAAACCCCATTTCTACCTCTTCTTTCTTTGTTTTGTTTTGTCTTGAGACAGGGTCTCCCTGTACCCCTACTGGCCTGGAACTCACTATGTAGGCCAGGTTGACCTCGATCTCACAGAGCTCCACCTGCCTCTGCCTCCCTCATGCTGGGATTAAAGGTGGGCACTGCCACACCCAACTTCTTCCTTTTTCTCTGAAGTAGCCACTCTCAATATTGCTTTGTCTTTTCTGTTTAACTTTTTAAATACCTTTTTCCATACAGAGATATACATGTAAGTTTTTTTGTTTAAATTTGATGTAAATTCTCAATAAATTATAAACATCATCTTTAATGTATTATCTTTCAATTTCCTTTTTTACTCATGATTACATTTGTTTTGTTTTGTTTTGAAACAGGGTCTTCCTGTAGCCCCAGCTGGCTTGGAACTCCCAGGCTGGCCTTGCTCTCATAGAGGTCTACCTGCCTCTGCCTCCCAAGTGCTGTGACTAAAGGCATGCACTACCACGCCTGGTTCATGATTGTGTTTTTTAAGGCATTTTGACTGTGTGTGAATCATTAAATTGGTAATATTTCATTGTCTGAATAAGCCACATACATGCACTGATGCTCTTGGAGGACAGTTGGGTAGTTGCAAGTCTTTTGCTATTAGAGTGGAGCTGGATGGAGTATCTGTGTACAAGAATTCTATGGTGTGAAGTTTCTGGGCTGTAAAGCATGAGCATTTTCAGTTTCAGGTTGAATGCTTTTGCCCAGGAGTCTCATAAGGAGATGAAGATGGTGGTATAGTTGTAAATAAATTTAGATATTAGTCTTTTCTTTCAAACTCTATAAAACTTGGAACTTGGTTTGTGACAATAAATTCTAATTTTTTTTTTTTTTTTTTGGTCTTTTTGAGCCTGGGTCTTCCTGTAGCACTAGCTTACCAGAAACTCCCTAAGGTAGACCAGGCTGGCCTCTTGAGTGTTGGGATCAAAGGCGGGTGCCATCACGCCCAGCAGTAAATGCATAATCTGGGTTTTGATCCCAACTATACCACTTCTTAGCAGTGTGATTGTGGAAGTGTTGTTTAATACCCTGGAAGTCCTTAGCTCCCATAGAAGATGCTCAGTAAGCACAAGCTATTTTGTAGCTTAATCTCTCTAACAACGGCTGTAGCTATGGATCGACAGGTCAAGCAAGGCCTGCTAGTCCCAAAGTCCATGATTTTTTTGTTTTGTTGAGACAGGGTCTCATTATGTAGTTTCAGTTGGCCTGAAACTCTATGTAAACCAGGTTGGCTTTAAACTTGTATGAGATCCCACTGCCTCTGCCTCCCCAGTGCTGAGTTTGAAGACTGGAACCACCATACCCAGCTGATTTAAAGACACACCTCAATGGGAAAGGTCAGGAGGAATGATCCACAACATTTTTAGGAAAAGGGCTGGAAGACTATGAGTTGAATTCACAAGAGTAGGTTCTTAGTCCTCCAGATGGAGAGAAATCACTGTTTGGGAGTTTATAGACTAATTCACACAAGCGATGGAAACAAAACTGGGAGAAAACAATCTCATGGAATGATAAACATGGGAAAAGTACTGTAAGTGCTAAATGTATATATCCAGGTCTTAAGGGTGTGTACTGCTTGGTTTGAATCCTAGCTGCATTTCTTATCAGCCTTATGACCTGGGGCTAGTCACCTTTAATCTTTTTTTTTGCTATTTCTTCTTCTGTAAACACAGAAAAATAAAAGCAAAATGTTATCCATCTGACAGTCTTGTACCCTGTGTTTCCCTTCTCAGAAGGTGATGACAATGTGTACTTTTCTGACTTGGGGCTCCGGGTCTTCGTTTTAAGAAGTTAGCTACAGTGCCTCCCATGTCACCCTGGGAACATCCCTAGAGAACAGGATGTCTCCATCTGACCCGGGGCTCCACAAGGCTTGCAACCCCTCTTCACAAATAAGCAACTCAGGTTCTGTCTGATGGATCTTGTCTCCCATCAGCCTGAGTTCCTAGGGTGTGTGGCAGACTCCTTCAGGCCACTCTATTTAGGACCAGATTCCCTTTTATCCTCTTCCTGGAATGTGCTACCTCAGCAGCCCCCTAGAGCAGGAAGAGGTAGGTTTCTGAAGCTTGGCCCTGGGGCGGGGAACTCTAGTTCTTAGCCTAATGTGTCCCCTAATTTAGTGTCTCAGAGGCAGTTTTGAGGAGCCCTTGGGAGGCTGGGCTGGACTTTGGGCCACCGGCGAGGGGCGGGCCCCAAAACCAACGTGAGAGAGCATTTATACCCAAAGTGAGATGGGAGGAGCGTCCAGGTAACTAATAGTAACCGGGCCAGGAGCTTCATGGTGACGAAAAACTACGATTCCCATGATGCTTCTGGGCTCAGTCCGGCTTTCCCGCCCGCCCACTGGCTGTCGGTCCCACAAGCGGTGAAGCGGATTGGCCTCGGCGAAGCCGGGCTCCCCCGCTAGCAGGTTAGTGGGCGCCACCGGCTGCAGACGTTGACCCGGGGCGCGCGGTGGGGGCGGGCAGGCGGACTGGGCCCGCACTAGCTATTCTGGAAACTGCCGGGCGCCATCTCCGTAGCGTAGCTGCAGTCTGAGAGGCACGGGGCGGGCGCGGAGACTGCGTGGCGCAGGCGCAGTGTTGGCTTCTCCCGGGTCCCCAGACAGCTGGAGGAGATAAACAGAGCAGGGGGAGGGAGGGGTGTGCGTGTGTGAGAGCGCGCGAGGGAGTGTGAGTGTGTGTGAGCGCGGGTGTGAGGCGGTGCGCAGGGGCGGGCGGAGGCGCTGTCCGGCCCCAGCCAGGCACCAGGCGCGGAGAATGGGAAGCGGCTAGGGCTGCCCAGATCCCCAGCCCCCTTCCCGGGATCCGCGCCCCTGCTCCCGGGAGAGGGGCCGGGCCCGCGGACGGACATGGGCTCCTGAAGTTGCGCTGCTGCTGGTCCCGGGAAGAGACCTGACAGGTAGGGGCGCCGCCGCCCCCTTCTCTCCGCGGGCGCCGAGGCGGGGACCGGCTTCCTGCAGCCCCAGCACCCGGGCAGAGGGCTCTGGGCCGGCTTTAGTCCTGCCGGCCTGGGGCCCTGAGTCCGGGCCGCCTCGGGGCTCCGGGGTGTCCGGAGAAGGGGGCAGGCCTCGCCGGGGCGGGAGGGCAGAGGGCAGAGGGCGGGGGACTGGCCGCGGGGTAGGGGGATGGCTTGGGAGTCCCGGAGGCTCGTCTGGCCGGGAGGTGGAAGTCGTGCTATCACGGGACTTTTTTTTTTTTTTTTTTTTTTTTTTTTTTTTTTTTCTTCCGGAGTTCTTGACATCTGATCTGGCGCCGGTAGCACTCTGGAAGAAGGGGGCAGGTGGAAGTTTCAGGAGGGCAATGACCCTGACCTACTCTCCTAGTCAGTCTCTCTCTCTCGCTCGCTCTCCTTGCTGTGTCCCTCTTTCCCTCTCTTCCTCTCCCCCTCCACCCTGTGTGTGTGTGTGTGTGTGTGTGTGTGTGTTTTCTTTAGTGTGTGTTCGTGTGTTCAGGCTTCTGGTAGCTGCAGATGCCTTCGGTGGCCTATCCTAGCACCAAACTGAACTTTGCCAAGGTGTTTGCATTATCCACTGTAGCGCCCCAGTACAAAGGGCCTCTATTTGGGAGTGGGCTATTAGTTCCCATTTCAAAGAGTAAATCGGAAGTGAAGAGCTAGAACAGAAACTGCAAACCAGCCGGGTCCCATTCGCCCCCTTGGCAGCCCCAGGTCGGTAGTTGGATTTGCTTGGTGTCCTTTGGCTTTCTAGAAAAAATAGGTATGACTGATGTCTTAGTAGCCTAATATGACTTTCTTCTGAAGTTCTTTGATTTTCTTAAATCTCTTGACATAGGGTAGTGGTAAAGCAACTTTAAATTGTGTTCTCTAAGTTTAGAAGCCCAGTAGACTGGCTCTAGCTGTCCCATTCCTTTGAAGGATGGGGTGGATGATCTGGGTAAAGTGTCAGATAAGTGTTTATTTGTGTGTGCACGCATGTGCCTGCATGCATTCATGAATACGTGTTTTAAAGCAAGATCCAGGCAGGCCTAGGAATCACAGTGTTGCTGAGACTGGCCTTGACCTTTAGCTGATGCTAGCCTTGAACTCCTTATCCTCCTGGCCTTTAGCTGATGCTAGCCTTGAACTCCTTATCCTCCTGCTTCCATCCCCTATGTAGACCAGACTGACTTCCATCCCACCCAGGTCTTAGGTATGCTCAGTGGTCTACACAGAGCTTTACTCCTTGAGTGGTTAATCTCTGTTCATTTTGGTGAATAACCTTAGGACTATTAGGACTGCTTTTAGTTTTGAGCTCTGGATTATTCATCCATGTGATTCCTGTATCTTTAAGAGAGATGAAATTGAATTTTTGCTGTTGAGTATAATACCCAGATCTTCTAAAGTAGACTGAAGAGTAAGTAGCAGGGCTGAACCTGAGACTTGACCATTGATTTCTTCCTTGTTAAATTGCTGTATTTTACTATATTTCATTTTTCTCTCTTCCTTTGGAAAGGGTCTGTGTAGTCCCAGCTGGCCCGGAACTTAAGGCAGCACCTCTTGCCTTGGTCTCTTATGAATGCCAGATCACAAGTGTGGACCATCATGCCTGCATAAGTTGTATTTCTTTTTATTAGAAGACAGAGTCCCTGACTGGCCTGGAACTCGCTATGTAGACCAGGCTGGCCTCAAATTCACATAGATTTGCCTGCTTCCCAATAAAAGACATTTTTAATAGAGATCTTAAGCACAAACATTAAGAGAAGGAAAGAAAGAAGTGCTTGGGAAGAAAGTAAGATATCCCAGAGCATGGGTCTAGGCTTCTCTGAGAGAAAAAGTTGGCTTTTCCTTTTTTTTTTTTTTTTCTTTTTTCTTTTTAGTTTGACAGTATTAGGGATTGAACCTAGGGTCTTGAGCATGCTAGGCAGTAGACAAATCTGTACTCTGAGCTACATTGCCCCCCCCTTTAGTTTTTTTGAGACAGGGTCACCTGTATCCCCAGCTGGCCTGGAACTTGCTGTGTAGACCAGGCTGTCCTTGATCTCAAAGAGATCAGTCTGCCTCCCCAGTGCTGGAAGGGGTGTGCCACTATGCCCAGATTGAAGGGGGCTAGTTCTTATTTTATAACATTCTACCCCTTCCCCCCCCCCAAACCCATAGCCATTTCATCATGCTGAATGCATTTAGTCCATCTCCAAGAGTCCCTCAAATCATAACAGTTCTAACATTGTTCAGAAGTCCAAATTCAGACCAGTGTGATGGCTTAGCTGGTAAAGGTGCTTTGCCTTTAAAGTCTGATAGCTTTGAGTTTGATCTCAAACCTCATGGTATAAGGAGAGAACTAATTCCCCAAAATTGTCTTCTGACCGGGCGTAGTAGTGCACACTTAATCCCAGCACTTGAGCACCAGAGGCAGGCAGATCTCTGTGAGTTCAAGGTCAGTCTGGGGCTACAGGGAGACCTGTCTACATAGTGAGTTCCAGGCCAGCTGGGGATACAGGGAGACCTGTCTCAAAAAGACCAATAAATAAATAATAAATTAAATCAATAAATCAATAAATAGTCTTCTGACCTCCACATGCATACAGTGGTACATACATGTCTGCATTCACATATCATACACACACACAATAGCAAAGTTAAAATTAAAATTTAAAGTCTCTCTTGAGACTCAAGAAAAACTTAAATGTGAGCAGTTAGAGGATGGGAAGCAGCATAGCGGCTCCCAGGTGCTCTAGTGAGAAAGATTTCGGTGTGTATTCTCATACCTCTGGACTTCAGGATCTAGAAGGACAACTGATGAGAGAGATTTTGTAAGACAAAATTGCCCACGCTGTACTGGAACTCACTGTAGCTCAAGAGACCCAGACCTCATGGCAGTCTTCTTGCCTCAGTCTCTTGGGTGCTGGGATCACATGCAGGCACCACCACTCCCAGCAGTGATCTGTTCTTTAATTATTTTCATCATCTTCTCTTTTAAATTAGGGAATGTGTGCTACATGCACAGCTCTGAATCTCAGAGACAACCTTGGACAGCATATGATACTTGGCTTTTCTTTGGACGGCTGCTTTAATGACCTGTTTCTTCTTTTTTTAAAAAAAATATTTATTTTTATTATTTTATGTGTATGGGTGTATTGCCTGCATGTATGTGAGTGCACCCATGTCATCCAATGCCTTGGAGGTCAGAAGAGGGCTTCAGATTCCTCTGGAACTGGAGTTAAGGATGGTTTGTAGCCACCATGTGGGTGCTGGGAATCAAACCTGGGTCCTCTGCAAGAGCAGTCAGTGCTCTTAACCTCTGAGCCATCCCTCCAGCCCCTCCTGTTTCTTCTTCTACCTCTGTCTTTATAGAGTCTCCATTGCATCTTTGGGCTGCCGGTATAGATCGCTAAACCCATAGAACCGGTGGTCTGAGCTTTCTTCTTAGCTGTTGTCTTAAACCCAGGTCATGGCAGTCCCCGTCAAAACCCAGTACTTTAGTGTTGTTTAATTCTGACTAACTTACTTTGAACGATATTTACTAATTGGTATATGACATATATTGAGGAGACCTGGTACATATATTGTTGTGCTTGGTTTTAGTTAGTATTCTTTTTTTGTGTGTGTCTTTTTGAGACAGGGTCTCCCTGTAGCCCCAGCTGGCCTGGAACTTACTTTGTAGACCAGGGTGGCCTCGAACTCACACAGATCCTCCTGCCTCTGCCTCCCAAGTGCTGGGATCATAGGCTTGCACCATAATGCCTGGCTTAGTTTGTGTTTTTTTATTTTATTTTATGTGTATGTGTGTATTGCCTGCATGTAGGTAAGTGCACCCGTGTCATGCAGTGCCTGAGGAGGTCAGAAGAGGCTGTTGGATCCCCTCGGACTGGAGTTAAGGACAGTTGTTAGCTGCCATGTGGGTGCTGAAATGCGAACCTTGGTCTTCTGCAAGAACAACCAGTGTTCTTAACCACTGAGCCATCTCTCTAGCCCCTAGTTTGTGTTTTGAGACACAGGTAGCCCTGGCTGACTTGGAGCTCACTATATAGACTAGACTGGCCTTGAACTCATGGGCGGTCCTTCTGCTTTGCTTCCCAGGGCTGGAATTACAGGTGTGCACATCCATGCTTTGTAGAAAATTCAGCTTTCTAAAAACATAATGGGATGCCTTGTCAACAAAGGTTTTTACTACTATTGTTTTTTGAGAACAGGGTCTTACTTTGTAGCATTGGCTAGTCTTGAACTCCAGCCTCTAACTGCTAGGATTGCAGGTATGTCTTACCACACCTGACAGGCTTTGTCACTTCTTATCAAGGATATGATAGAAGGGTTCAAACTTATGTAGGTGATTGAACTAAGCAGTCTTTTAATATTTTAAACTGTCATTCTGTGAAAATACCAAACTGCTTTTTTATGATCTGTAAAAAGCTGACACGTATTGATTTTCTGCTTCATGCTGGACACTTGCTAGACACTTTCTAAAATATCTCACTTAATCCTCTCAGAAACACCCTATAAGGTAGAAATGATCATTAGTCCCCATTGAAGAAACAGGCTTCAGAAAGCTAAGAAATAATGCTCGAAATTATCCAGCAAGTAGTGCCAAGGTTGCTTCGAACCCGTGTCTGCCTCTTGTTTGTTATGTGACCTTGGCTAAATCACAAGTTTGCTAAGCTACAGATGAATTTCCCAACCTCTAAAAGACGCTTTGGAGGGCACCTGCCTTACAGTGGGTTGATGAGGGCCAAATGACATAGTATGTGTTTTTCACTGAATCTCACTGGTTTTTCTTAGGAGCTAGGCTTGGGCCTAAAGGAAACCAGGTATTGGTTTCCTCAGGGTGAATTCAGGCCTGACTAAAATCCTGAAAGTTCTGGGGCTAATTCTTTGTGCTATTAGTAATAGCTGCAGACTCCTCAAAGGGCTTTATGGTATTAGTGAGTAATGCCTAGAAACTTGAATAAGGGGAAGATACAGCCAGC